GTTAGCAATTTGTTGTAAATGTTAGGTTAATTTTAAGTTTAATTACTTGATTTGTAATTATATATATATTTAATTATTATTATTTTGATTTATTTGTTAAATTGTTAATTTTTGTTAATTGTTAGGCTAATTTGTTGGTTAATTTGTTTAATTAATTAGATTATAATTAATTTGTAAATTAATTGTAATTTTGTTAATAATTATTTAATTTTTCTTGATTAAGTTAATTTAATTGTTATTTTAAATTTAATTTGGTTAGAATTAGAATTAATTAAATTAATTTGATTTATAATTAATTAATTAATTAATTTTGTTTAATTAGTTGAATGATAATTTTATTTATATTAGAAACTGCTAATTAATTATTATTTAAATTTATTTTGGTTAGAATTAGAATTAATTAAGTTAATTTGATTTATAATTAATTAATTAATTAGGTTAAGTTTGTTTAATTGATTGAATTAAAACTTTATTTATATTAAAAATTGTTAATTTATTGATATTTTAAATTTAATTTGATTAGAATTAGAATTAATTAAGTTAATTTGATTTATAATTAATTACAGTAATTATGTTTTATTGGTTGAATTAAAACTTTATTTATATTAAAACTTGTTAATTTGTTGTTAGTTTAAATTTAATTTTGTTAGAATTAGAATTAATTAAGTTAATTTGATTTATAATTAATTAATTAATTAGGTTAATTATGTTTTATTGGTTGAATTAAAAATTTATTTAGATTAAAACTTGGTAATTTATTGTTATTTTAAACTTAATTTGGGAAGAATCAAAATTAATTAAGTTAATTTGATTTGTATATAATTAATTAGGATAATTATGTTTAATTGGTTGAATTATAATTTTTTATATATTAAAACTTGTTAATTTATTGTTATTTTAAATTAATTATGTTAGAATTAGAATTAATTAGTTTAATTGTCTCGTATATAATTATTGAAGTGTGTCGAGATATACCGTAGTGTATTGAACCCGAGGGGTGACCCCCGGTAATTCAAGAGAAATAAGGTTGACTCAATGCTCTACAATTGAGCTAAAAGGATAAGGTTGAGATAATTTTTGGTCTCGGTGTGCACAAAGTAATCATTGGTTGATTTAGTTTGTTGTTTGTGTGATCATTTGAAGTATTTATTAATTGAAAAATATGTAATTTATAGGGAAGACTCTACCGAAATTTTAGTAGATGTTTAGAAAAATTATTAATAAAATAATTTTGTGTTGCCTCGAAAATTTTGAAAGTGTTAAATTTTGTGCTCGTGGCGTTTTCAGTAACTAGGGAATATCAAATTTACAAAAAAATTTTAATTTATAATATATTTTTAGTCGAATTGTTATTTATTTGTTAAATCATTTCAAATGTTATTCTTGAGTTATGTCTCGTGGATTGAGCATATCCGGTCACGGTATCAATGGCGTGCCCTAATGTTGACTGTGAGACTGATAGTGATGGTGTACGTGGAGATAACACTAGTAGTATAACTATTCGCGATCACTAACCTAATAGTTGTGCCGACACGTCCGCATCTCCTTCAATAGTGCCCTCGTCGGTTATAATCTTGTCGGTAGTGACCCCCGCCGCAGATGATCCCACTCGTTGTTTCCTTAACTCAAAAAAGTTCTTCTTGATCCGATGATGGACGAGTCGTTTGGGTCGTGAATAACGGATAAGTAATATGTTTTACATGTAATAATTAGTTTTATATTTTCATATATTATATTTGAAACATTAGTTCACTTATTTATTATTTATTTATTTTGTTCGATAGTTTCATTCCATCAAGCAAGTACTCTACAAAAATCACGGTATTTTTTAAGGAGCGGTTAGACGTTGTCGGCTTCACATGGAAGTCCGTCTCTATAAAGATGAAAGACTTCTACTTTAATGAGTTTAGAATAACATATTAATTATTTTTCCATATTTTATTTAAAGTGCTAATTTAACATGAAAATTACTACTATTATTTTTTTCTTCATGCGAAGTATTTTTTTATGGGATGCAACCATCAACACACCGATTAAAGATGCGTAAGAGGGTCCGACATAGAGGTGATACAACAACATTCTTAACAAACCGACGGGCATATGTTTATTAAACAAGAGATGTAAGAAGCATAATATCGGGATTAGACCACTTTCGAGTATCGGACTCGATCTTAGCAAGCATCTCGGAATCGTATGTGGAAGATGGATAGTGTCGGTGCTATCCCATCCAACTATACTTGGAGCATCTATCTCTTTGATCAAGCATGTTGAGCGTTTGGTAAATCTTATATTATCCATTATGCTATAAATTAATTTTTGTATTTATTTCATCTCATATTTTTTTTCTACATAATTAATTGGATAATATTTCAAATCCTTACGAGTTGTTCGTGACTACTTACAAGCAAAAAGATGAGATATTCATCGACGGGTTGTTGCAAACAAGTAATGGACATGTTTTATTTTTTTTAAACATGTATATACATCTACCGATATAATCTAAAAAATATATTTATGATTTAATATTGTAATTATTTCAATGACATAGAAACGCATGCGATCAATACAAGAAGTAGGCTGCTAAGGAGCGGTAGGAGGGTGATTCATCATCTCCAAATATCGATATGTCCAAGATATCTTTGGATACTATTGGAGGGGAGAAGAAGCAAAGAATGTACGATATTGAAACTTTTTGTGTTCCATTGTTACTCACGTTTTGACGTCGGCTCATCCTCTCGCCACTTTGCGTTATCCTAGTAGTAATATTTAAGAGGTTTTTGCCTAGTACGAAGATAGGATCAAGGGGATAAAGACTACCATCTAGCAAGAGTGATGGGGTTGTTACGAAACCTTCGACAGACTAACATCCCTTTTGCCGACTCTCTCACAATCCAAGAGACAACCGTCCTCTCAACACCTAACAGACCAAAAGATGATGTAAGAAATGATGACTAGATTTTTTTTTTTTTAAGTTTCTAACATTTTTGTACATTTTAACGCATTTATATATTTATTTTATATTAGTTTAATTTTATTCAATAATATATCATATTTTAATAAGGTGTTGTTTATAATTATTTGCTATTACAATTAACAATATATCGCTATTGATTTAAAAATAGTTTAAAATTCATTTATTTAGTGATGAAATTGCGAGAACATTTAGTGATAGATACACATATGATTGGTAAACTAAATAGTAATAGATTTAGTGACAAAATTACGAGTATTTTTGCAACTATCATTTAGTCATTTAGTGACGAGACCATTCTATCGCTATTTAGCGACAAATTCACATATAGTCTCTAAATAGTGATGGATTTAGTGATGAAATTATGAGTATTTTTGCAACTATCATTTAGTGATAGACCATTTCGTCACTATTTAATGACGGATATAAGTGAAAATAGCCACTACATAGCGACGAATGTGAGACCGGACAGACGATTGTTTTAAATCAATTTATTAATGAAAATTCAACAAAATAACAATGAAAAAATTTCAATTGCTAAAGAAATAACAACCATCATATTAGCAATGAAATTAAAATTTTCTCTAATCCATCGCTAATGATATGCTTCTTGAATATATATATATTCTTTTTTTTCTTTTTTACTTTACAGGGATTCTATCGATGAAGAACCGATGGTTAAACAACTAGGAAATTAACCTTAGTTATTAATAGTGCAGAAAACGGTATTAGTACAAGGGATTGAATTAATTATCATTATAAAAATAATAGAGTACTTTTACCTTTTTTAAATTACTCAAAAGAGAGTGCGTGAATTCAAAGAACTATTGCAAATGTAAAAAAAGTCATCTTCCTTTTTTTTTTAAAAAAAAAAAAAAACTCCTACATATAACTTGGGTCTATATCGAATTATCTACACATAAATGGGCCTATGTCTAGAATTCTTGTCTTCAGATTTTTTTTTGGATTTCTTTATTCTTTGATACTCATAAATAAAACTCTCTTTTAGTGCATAAGAGAACAAAAGTCCTAGAAATCAAAATCAGTATTCTCACGATACATGGACAAAGGGATACAATTCATACAACAAGTTAAGATGTCTTACATGATTTTTGATAACTAGGTAGGTCAAGGTAGTGAAATTTTTAACAGACATTGTTTGGATTTTAAAAAATGCAAAAGGTGGGATATATGTGCTGGCTAACAGGCCAAGAAAGAGACAAGGGAGAAAGTGTGGGTGATTGCTTCAATGACTTCAAGTCATTCAGTTACATCATTTTATTTTTTTTAACAGAAAAGTAAGTAAAATGTTTTTATTTATACAATTTAGTGAAAACAATAAATAAATTTGAGTAACTTAAAGTCTTGGACGTAATGACCGAAAGAGAGAGAAATATTAGTGGACCTGCTTTGAGGAAAGAAATAGACATATTGAATTACATCGGATTCATAAAAGTAATAAGAAGATTTTCAAATTTACTCAATTTTTTTTTTAATTTTCTCTTTCTTTTTTTTCTATCTCTCCTCAAAATAGATCCATAAAATCCATAAAATAACTACTATACATGTCACTCGCTTTATGTATTATAAAATTTTTCGAAATATTAGTCTACTGAGTTGAGTTTTCGCAAATAGAATTTTTTTTAATTTATTTATTCTAAAAACAACAGGACCCACAAAAGGTTGAGTTGGGGTATCTTAAAGGCATGAGCATAAGTAAAGAAATTAATGAGCAATTCTTTGGATTTATTTATACCAATTCTATTTAATATGGATATGGAGTGAATAATTAATTTCTCATAAAATAAACCACAGAAAATGGAATGAAGCACAACAGATTTATATATATTGATATTGATAATAAGAACATCCAGTATATAACAATAATCGCAGTTGGTAGCGGATAATTGCAAACCAAGCTGTGTGATGCGATAGATCGTAGTTGAAAGACAATTAATTGCAGAGTAATTAAAAGACTCCACATTATTTAGGAGACGATTAATGAAGATGGCTAGCTGTTTGCAGTTCACTAATCCTTGAGAATCAGTTCATCCACCTCCAGAAAGTTCTTAACAACAAAATCCTTAATGATGTGTGGGACTTCAACGTCTTCGCTTGCCTTTTCAAACTCACACATCCATTTCACCAAGCTCCCATCTCCCTTTGGATTCACAACTATCGTTGCCTTGAAACTCTTGTAGTATTTTAGAAGATCGCCCTCGATCACACTGTAGGAAACCTCCTTCTTTGCTTCGTCTACACTATCAATCCTCTCTTTCGACAGCTTCACAAGAGGAGAACCTGCGAAACAAAAATGCACGTGGCCAGAGTCAGTACTGATCATCCGTAATTAAGCATTTCCAAAGTGATACTTTAATGCTGGTTCTACGTGATTACCTTCAGCATATGTGAAGAGGCGAACGGAACCAGCTGCCTTGCCATCGCCTTCAAGTATTTCAATGCTCTTGTATTGGTCAGGGAAGGCCTTAGGGAAGAGATTTGTGGAGTCTCTAATGTTATCCCAGAACTTTTGTGCACCAGACTTGATCTCAACGTCTACTTCAAGCTTTCCACTGGAAGCCATTGGAGTAATGCAAGAAAATTTTTAAGTAGATTAAGAAAGAATTATGAGCTCTATAGCTAAATTATATATGTTAGACAGACCCTGATAGAGTCTTGTACATTTATATAGCCACAGTGGAGCTTTAGAATTGGATTGGAGCCTTAAATTCACTAGGAGCAGGTTCAACAACCACTTTCTTAGCTACTGATATTAATGTTGTCATGCTGGATGATTAACCCCTCAACGCCCATTGCCAGAAATGGGCCCAACCCCATAACTTTCGTTTCTTCTATCAGATACAGAGCCAGTTGGCGGAGCAATTACTAGAGTCTGTTGCCATTTAAACCGATCGAGGTTTCTGTAAATTAATGGAACTGCATGTGGTCTCGGTTTATCGTTTAAACCCGATTGCACTGGCGTTGTTACCTTAATCAAGTCGAATCACCGAACTTCACAAGTCTGCTAAATCATAGATTTAATATAATCGCTTTGACAGGTTTTATACACGATCGAGCTAGCAACAATATTTTGGTAAATAAATTTTAAGAAAATTAAATTGGTTAGCTGAACTTTTCTTATCATTATTAATAGCCCTAATCTATTGGTGTGATTTTGCTTCCAGAGGCCCTTACTGAACTCCCAACTAAAAATCTAAAACAATACTCTCTCTGTGGTTCTTTTTTATTTTTCACCCACTTTACAAAAATCATTAATTGCAATATCATTTCGATTTTTTTAATTTATATATAATTTTTTAATTTTTTTTTAAATTGTCGGAACTCATATTAATTTAAAAAGAAAATTTATCTAAAATTAAAGTGATAAATCAAAAGAAAAATCATTAAGTTAATTAACAATTAAATTATAAAATATAACATACTAATAAAAATATTTTACTTTTAAATCTTTGATATACAGTATAAAATTCCTACAAGATTTTAGGTTAAAAATTAAGACAACAAATTAAAATTTTTATCCCTTCCAAATTTGAGGTGATGAAGAATTTTTGTGGGAACAAATATAAAATTTCTCATTTGAGCAAACATAAAATGGAGCGTATCGGATAACTTCCAAACTATCATGAATTTTTTAGAAGAATAAATATTTTTCATGTAATAATTTTTTTTTTAAAAAAAAAGTATGTTAAAGGTATTTATATGCATAAGAAAAAAGTATAAAAAACCATTGATTTTTTGTCAGTGAAGAATAGAAAAAATGAAAGAAAGAATTTTTTTATTATTATTTGGATATATTTTTTAAAAAAACATATATTATTTAAAATTTAAACCAAACAAATATTTTGGGACAAATACAAATTGAAAGAATTTAAAAAATTACAAGATATACTAAACCAAAATAAAAAAGCACTATAGCATTTTTCCTATTCATTTACTGTTCACGTTTTCTTTTCTTTTTTTCTTTTTTTCCTCCCTTTCTCTTATTGCATTTTTTTAAGCCCCTCTTTTGGCTTTAACAATTCATTTCTTGTTCGCCTTTGCACTTTTTTTTTCCCTCCTTTTCTCTTATTGCATTTTTTTAAGACTCTCTTTTGGCTTTAATAAATTTTACATTTTAGTCCCTATTTTATAATTTTTTTTAATTTTAATCATATTATATTTGATTTTTATTTCTATAATAAAATGGTTTTTTTCCCCTCTTGCTTCATTTTTTAAGCCTCTCTTTTGACTTTTAGTGAATTTTATTTTTATTTTAGCCCCTATTTTATAATTTTTTTTATTTTTGGTTATAAAATTTTTATTATATTTGATTTTTGTCATTATAATAAATATTAAAATTATATTTTAAACTTTTTTAATTTTCCTATTCATTTACTCGTTCATGTTTTCCTTCTTCTTTTTTTCCCTCTCTTTCTCTTACTGCATTTTTTTAAACCGCTCTTTTGGCTTTAACAATTCATTTCATGTTCACCTTTTATGCTTTTTTTTCCCTCCCTTTCTCTTATTGCATTTTTTTAAGCCTATCTTTTGGTTTTAATAAATTTTACATTTTAGTCCCTATTTTGTAATTTTTTTTTAATTTTAATCATATTATATTTGATTTTTATTCCTATAATAAATTAGTTTTTTTCCCTCTTGCTCTACTTTTTAAGCCTCTTTTTTTACTTTTAGTGAATTTTATTTTTATTTTAGCCCCTATTTTGTAACTTTTTTTTTCATTTTGTTTATAAAATTTTTATTATATTTGAATTTTGTCTCTATAATAAATATTAAAATTTTATTTTAAACTTTTTTAATTGTTCATTAAAATTTTATTATATTTTATTTTTATTCTTCTAATAAATCGGTTTTTTTCTCTTTCGGCATTTTTTAAGCTCCTCTTTTGGCTTTTAGCAAATTTTATTTTAATTTTACTCCCTGTTTTGTAACCTTTTATTATTTTATTCATTTAAATTTTATTATATTTGATTTTTATCTCTATAATAAATATTTTTTTCTTAACTTTTAGTAAAACTATTCACGAGTCTTATTCTTTATAATTTTTTTTGGCTTTTAGTGATTTTTTTTTTATTTTGATCCTTATTTTATGATCTTTACTTTGTTTTGATCATTTAATTTTTATCGTGTGTAATTTTATCTCTATTTTTTTTTTTGTCAAATTCTCAATTTGACAAAGCTTTTTGTCTTTTTGTTTTTGATGGTCTCTCTATCTTATTAATAAATTACGGATGAAGAATTTATGGTAAAATTAATCATTTAAAATTTAAAAAGCTACCACATCATTATTTTAATTATCAATTATTATATATATTTCTAATAAAATACATGTTTATATCAAACAATATCTAATTAACAACATTATATTACTCAACTTTGTAAAATTTTCGTTTAGCTAACCTTGCAACAAAATATAAAATATATGTTTTAGTTTTTTTTTAAAAAAAAATTTTTATGTGATCCTTTTAAATAATTATTTTTAAATTTTGTATTTTATATAAATGAACACATAAAAATGTTGTATAACTCACCTCGATTTTTTTATGTGATCTTTTTAAATAATTATTTTTAAATTTTTTATTTTATAAGAATGAACACGTAAGAATTTTGTATAGCTCATCCAACGACAACGCGCGGGATATATGCTAGTACATATAACTAAAAGAACAGGGGTAGTTTTATAGTAAATGAACGAGTAATGAACGATTGCTCTGGTTCTTCTTCTTCTTCTTCTTTCTTCTTTTTTTCTTTTTTTTTTTTTTCTTGCTACTCGTTGGGTTGACTAGCGACCAAGGCCGCATGTGCCATGCCTTAGTCGCCTGACTCGGTAGCCTCCCATGTTTTTTTCTTTTTCATAGACCCAAGCCTTGGTGCCTAGCATTTTTTCCTTTTTTTTTTCTTCATATATATATATATATATATGAAGAAAAACAAACATATTTTTAGGTTACAATGGCCATTTTGAAACATTTTTAATTCTTTATTTTATTGTAAATTTGTAATGGATGATAATTTTTTGGTATAATTTTATTTTTTGATATAATTTTATTTGTTAATAAATTTGTTTTCATATAATTTTACTTCTTAATAAATTTGGTTTTTTAATATATGAATTTTTGGATAAAATTTTACAACGTCAATGTTTTATTCTTTAAAAATATATTATTATAATTTATACAATAAATTATTTTTATATTTTTGAATGAGTGTTTTATTGTTTAATATATATATATATATATATATAGAGAGAGAGAGAGAGAGAGAGAGAAGTATATTTTACATAGTTTGGCTCAATTTTTTTTTTAAATAATGAGTTAAAAAATTCTCAAGTTTTATTTATTTTTATATATATATTTATTTAGAATTTATCGAACAGATTTTGTTATAGTTTTTATTTTAATCTATTGACTTTAATATATTTCTATAATTTAGGTGGGTTTTTTTTATATATTTTTTCTATTTATTCTCTATACTCTCAATATTCATATATATATATATATATATATATATATATATATATATATATTGTTATTGCAAATTAATTATATATAGATTCAATTTATATTAATCATAAAAAATAAAACTTTCTACTAGCATTACACCATACAAATTGTTAATCCTACATATGTAACGGTTGTCTACTCATAACGTAGTACGGATATTCGACTAGTAAGAACTAAAAGATATAGATGTGTAAACGTTCACTTATTGTAACTCCACGTCGATTGCCCCTATTCATACACACCCGACTACATTTGCTCTTCTTTTTCAATCTCATATTTGTTTTTCCTTTTCTGCGAGGTGTGTGTGTTGCTTTGCTTTCGGCCTCAACCCTTTCATTAATTTCTATCTTGTCATTAACTTTATTTGTTCATTTACTTATTTAGCCCTTACACACATTTTCTCTTTTTCTTTGTTGCTTCCGCTACGTTTTTTCTTTCCTTCAACACAGACTCTTCTCCATTTTCATTTACTTCTCTCGCCCTTAACACATCTTTCCTTTTTTGGTTGCTTGTGTTTTTTCTACCCTTCAACACAACTCTTCTCCATCTTTATTTTTTTTCCATTTGCTTATCTACCCTTGAAAACATCTTTTCTAAGTCTTTTGATAACACACCTCTTTCTTCTTTTCTTGGTTGACACATTTTTTTGCCCTTCAACACAACTTTTCTCCACGTCTATTTTTTTTTTCATTTACTTATCCACCCTTGAAAACATCTTTTTTAATTCTTTTGATTGTTTCGGACCACCTCATTAAATGTTGTTATAGGTTTTTTATGGGCTTCCTTTTGCCTTAATCTTTCCCACTATCATCAATTGCAAACCCACTAGATACATTTGAGGGCACTAGATTATTATGTTAAGGAATAAGATTCTTGCAAACTCTTTCTCATTTTATGCTGGGAGTTCTATTCCTATCATTTCCATGTTCTCTCATGATATGTTTCCACTTGGGTTTCATTTGATTCAAATCGGATGAGGATTTCTTTCATCATTGTTGCTGCCCATCACATCATTTCTTCTTAGGAGCTATCATTTGCTTGGACGGCCAACCCTTCTTCGTTATTTTGGGTTTTTTATTTGCTATTTAGGTGTTTGGTTTCTTTCTAACCGAGATAAACCTTTGATACATTCGATTTGAATCGAGTCGGGATTTCTTTCATCATTGTTGCTACCTATCGCATCGTTTCTTTTTAGGGCTTGTTGTTGCTTAGGAACCTAGTCCTTCATCTGCTGTTTTGGAGTTTCTCTCCAACTAGATATGCATTTTTTCCTCTTATTCCCTAATTGATCATTTTTACTCTTTCTTTTACGCCCTTACTTATTTCTTTTTTCCTCTCAAATGTGTTGCTTTGACTAGACCTTACTAGTTTGGAAATGATGTTTTTACCATTTTGATTTGCCCTTTGTTTCTTATAAGTCTTTTATTTTAACTCCCTTTTTATAAATTTGTAGTTATGCCTTTTTCGTTTGTTTGTTTTCTTTGTTGTGTCGTTTTCAGTTGCTTCTTCTTTTGCTAGTGGAGGTTGTTTGCCTATCTTTATCTTTTCCTGGATGATAGATTATTCTTTTATATGGCTACTTTATGTTTTGATTTTTGGTGTTATGCTTTCTCCTCATGTTAATTATTTGTTTATAATGATTATTCTTGGTGAGATTCTTATTGTTTCGCTTCTCTTCTCTCGGTCTTTTGTCTACATTTTTTAATCTGTTTTGTTCTTTTGCTTTAGAGCCTTTCGGTTTGGAACTATTGCTTGGTCATATTATTTCGACTCCTTTTCTTTTTATTTTGATATTCACATTTTCTTCTATCTATGGTTTCACATTTTCCTTTTCTACTTTAGACCTTGGATTGCTTCCTTATTGTTTTGAAGAAATGTGATGCTTTGAGCAAATGTGTTTCTTCCTCTATGTTGCTACCTTTTTTATGTTTCTTCTTAGTGGCCTTGCTTTTTCCCTTTTTTTAATTTGAAATTGATCTGGTGATTGTTTTTGTCATGCCCATTTGAAATCATAAGTATCCACTTCTATTTTGTTTTATGGTTTTTGTCAAGGCATATAAGTGTCTTTATTCTTGGGTTAGTCGCTTAAGTTCGTTACTTTTCTTGCATTTACGGTGTTTTATGGGGAATTTATTGTTTTGTGCTTCTTATAGATTCAAATGTTTCTTACTTTTCCTATTTCCTATTTTTTTAGTCCTTTGTTTTTGTTAGTGTTGTTGGATTCGATTTTCTCATGTGCCTACTTTTTACTTTTCGTTGTTTGCTTAAGCCAAGTATGCTTTCTTCTTTTCTTAGACCTTTGTGATCCATTACTTTTCTTTTTTTTGTCGGTTTCTTAAGTTGTGTCTTTTATTTTCCACTTACTTTTTAGTTTTCTTTTTTCTAATTTGAAACATTTTTCTCTCGGTTTTTTCATTGTTGGTGTAACATACTATTTTTTAAAAAAATTATCTATATTGCCTTGTTGTTGATCTGTTCATTCTATTTGCTTGGTCGGGATAACCACGTTTGAAATTTCACCTTCACTTTCCCATATGAATATTTTCTCGCTACAAACTCTTTCTTAGGTGTTTTAGTTATAAGGGAGTTTCTTTCTTTTCAAATTGTATAGGCTTTTTTTCTCTTCATTCATGTGTTCGTTTCTTCTATTGGGGTAGGTTGGTTTGTTTTATTTCATCTCTTTTTGTCATTTGCCTTCTTTTCTTCCATTTTGTTGTAGCATGTTGTTTTGTTTTGCTTTTTTTTTTCAATGGCCCTTTGCGTTGTTGCTCTGCTTTGTTTTGGATAAAATTAAATAAAATTTCCTATAGGACTATATTTTTACCTACTTGTCTTTTCTTTTTGTGGTTTACTTCCTCTTTTGTTGTTCGGCCATCTTGATTGGATATGTGCTTTTGAGTTCTTTCGTTGGTTGGTCTATAATGCCTATTATTTAAGGAGATAACTCTGTACTTTGGTGTTGCAATTGATATGCCCTTCTCCGTGACGGTTTGTATATTTATGGTTTACCTAAAAAAATTATTGGTTTGTGTGATTTTGCATTTAATAAATTGAATGATCGTTAATGCATCCGTGTTTTTTCCGTAATGTTTGAATATGAGGCAAGAATATGGATAGTCCTTTCTTGGTTGCTTGCATTTTGTTGAGCTTCTTTTATTGCTCACTAAAAAAAAAAGCAAGCACCTAAATCTAACTTTATTCCGAGTGTTCCTTAAAAACACAACTCATCAATACATAAAAAAGCGGAACCTATATCCAACTTTGTAAGTTTTCATGTTAAATTAATGTAGATTTCTATCCTTGATAGATGGCGAAACTAACTTTGTCATTAATAAATTGCTCAAGTTCAACTAATCATGACTCAAAAAGATTAGTGTTTCTATTGTATGGAAACTATCATTGTCAAATTCTATTAATATAGTTTCAATCAACACTTGCATCAAATGAATTATAACTTTCACGAGATGCATAATACACCTCCCAAGGAACTACTCGGTTGTAGTGTATCTCAATTGAAACCCGAAGCAAAGCTTGGTTCTCGACTCTCATTTTGTTATGGATCCTAAGAAATAAGTGTCAAAATGCATTAAGCCTCCCTAAATCTAGAAACTAAATGAATAGCATTTAGAAATTTTGTCTACTCTAAAGCAAAAAGGAGAAGAAGATCAATTTAATGAAAAAGGATATGAAAAAAAAATTGTCTCCTTTTTTTTTTTTTTTGAAGGGTGGGCTACGTGCTAGACCCCCTCTTTTTTTGGATAAAGGGGGCGGGTTGGGTCCAGCCCCCTTTTTTTTTCAAAGGAAGGGCGAGTTGGATCGAAATCGGTCTAGCTTCGTGCATTTTTTTTTCTTTTTTCTCGACGAGCTTTAACTCGAAAACGAGGCCCAGTGATTATTTTTGACAAAAAATGGATCAAACACCCTAAAGACTCTCCTTCTCTCCTATTCTTCTCAACCTTCTTTTCTCTCTCTATTTTCTCGGATTTTTCCAAAAATTAAAGCCCTATTTCGGATAAATAATTGCTAATATATGTTATTACACTCTTGTTTCGATCACAAACCCGAATTAAAAACTTAAACAAGTAACTAACAAAAAATTTAGGAATTGCAAATCATTGAATCGAAAACAAGAAAAAAACAAGAACGGACCTTAGATTTGTGATTGATGTTCGAAAATATGCAAATTGAAACTCAAAAATGGTTTCAAGAGACTCGAAAAAGGATGCTCGTTGCTTTTGATATGCCCGAATGAGATTCAAGACAAAGGATCAAATCCGAGTAGTTGAAGCCGAACGAAACTCCACCCGGAAGATTGAAGAACATGAACCCGAGCGCATGAAGAAGTTCAAGTGACTGCCTAGAATTTCAAAAGGGAAACCTAAAATTATGAAGAACGGGGTCTTTAATTCGGGAAATTAGATTGAGAAACACTTAAGGAGAGAAAATCGACCCCGAAAAGAACACCAAAAAGGATTAAAGGAGGCCGATCGATGATGAGCTAAACCCAAAAACTCAAGAACGCCAAGAATAATAACCCGGAGAAAAATTAAGCCTTTTTGCTTTCGATTTTCACTTTCTTTTTAACCATAATTTCTCCAAAATCTCTCCCTCCTCTTTCTCCGATATCGGACTCGTTTTATAGCAAAATATTTCTTAGAATCGAATCTAAATCCCGAATTTTTCTATCAAAATATTTCCTCTTTAATTCATAATTAATGTGAAATCAAAACGGAAAATTTGGTCATTGCTTCCTGTTAGTGTTGATTTTGACAACGAATCCATGATTAATGCATAATCAAAACAAGAAATTTGATGGAAGATTTGGTAGATTTCTCCCAAAGATTTTCGAAGAGAAATCGGAATTGGAGTGGACGATAGGTCGTCCTTCCCACTCCAATCTTGTCGTCCGCTCCAAAAGTCCAACTTGGTCCTTCCGCCTTTCAATTTCAGCAATTACGCCCCTCTGCAGAATAATTTCGGTCTTTCTAAGGTGTAATCTTATCAATTGGATCCTCGTAAAAAGCAATTTAGGTTCTAAATTTTTCGGTTGGTTCAATTATACCCCTAATTACTTCAATTGTGTCCCTAAATGAAAATTTTTGTGTTTTTCATCATTTTCCTTTCTTTCTTTCTTTTTCTTTTTTTTTTAGTAAATTTAAAATTAAAACAAAACAAAACATACATGAAAAAATAAAAAACAAAAAAAAGGTAAATTTTGGTTTATTACAACCCTCTTTTTTTTTTTTAAAGGGTGAGGCTACTGAGCTGGACCCCCTCTTTTTTTTGGATAAAGGGGGTTGGGTCCAGCCCCCTTTTTCTTTTCAAAGGAAGGGCGGGCTGGACTGAAATCGGTCCAGCCCGTGCGTTTTTTTTCTTTTTTCTCGGCGGGCTTTAACCCGAAAACAGGCCCAGTGAATATTTTTGACAAAAAATGGATCAAACACCCTAAAGACTCTCCCTCTCTCCTATTCTTCTCAACCTTCTTTCTCTCTCTCTATTTTCTTAGATTTTCCAAAAAATTAAAGCCCCATTTCGGATAAATAATTGCTAACATATGTTATTACACTCTTGTTTCGATCACAAACCCAGAATTAAAAACTTAAACAAGTAACTAACAAAAAATTTAGGAATTGCAAATCATTGAATCAAAAACAAGAAAAAAAACAAGAATGGACCTTAGATTTGTGATTGATGTTCGAAAATATGCAAATTGAAACTCAAAAATGGTTTTAAGAGACTCAAAAAGGATGCCCGTTGCTTTCGATATGCCCAAATGAGATTCAAGACAAAGGATCGGATCCGAGTAGTTGAAGCCGAATGAAACTCCACCCGGAAGATTGAAGAACATGAACCAAGACGCATGAAGAAGTTCAAGTGATCGCCGTAATTTCAAAAGGGAAACCTAAAATTATGAAGAACGGGGTCTTTAATTCAGGAAATTGGATTGAGAAACACTTAAGGAGAGAAAATCGACCTCGAAAAGAACACCAAAAAGGATTAAAGGAGGCCGATCGATGATGAGCTAAACCCGAAACTCAAGAACGCCAAGAATAATAACCCGAGAGAAAAATTAAGCCTTTTTGCTTTCGATTTTCACTTTCTTTTTAACCATAATTTCTCCAAAATCTCTCCCTCCTCTTTCTCCGAAATTAGACTCGTTTTATAGCAAAAAATTTCTTAGAATCGAATCTAAATCCCGAATTTTTACGTCAAAATATTTCCTCTTTAATTCATAATTAATGTGAAATCAAAATAGAAAATTTGGTCATTGCTTCTGTTAGTGTTGATTTTGGCAACGAATCCATGATTAATGCATAATCAAAACAAGAAATTTGATAGAAGATTTGGTAGATTTCTCCTAAAGATTTTCGAAGAGAAATCGAATTAGAGTGGATGACGAGTCGTCCTTCCCACTCCGAGTCTTATCGTCTCGCTCCAAAAGTCCAACTTGGTCCTTCGTCTTTCAATTTCAGCAATTACGCCTCTCTACGAATAATTTCGGTCTTTACGAGGTGCAATCTTATCAATTGGATCCCTATAAAAAGCAATTTAAGTTCTAAATTTTTCAATTGGTTCAATTATACCTCTAATTACTTCAATTGTGTCCACTAAATGAAAATTTTTATGTTTTTCATCATTTTCCTTTCTTTCTTTCTTTCTTTCTTTTTTTTTTAGTAAATTTCAAATTAAAACAAAACAAAACATACATGAAAAAATAAAAAACAAAAAAAAGGTAAATTTTGGTTTATTACGGTTGTTACTAGTATTGTTGGATTTGATTTTGCTCATGTGCTTGCTTTTTGCTTCTAGTTGTTTGCTTCGTCCAAGCATGCTTTCTAATTTTCTTACATCTCTGTGTTCCATTACTTTTTGTTTTATCAGTTTCCTTATTTATGTCTTGTATTTACCATTTACTTTTTGGATTTTTTTTCTAATTTAAAACATTTTTCTTTGTTTTTTTCCATTATTGGTGTAACATACTACTTTTTTAAAAAAATATCTATGTTGCCTTATTGTTTATCCACTCATTTTGTTTGCTCGGTCGGGATAACCAAGTTTGAATTTTCACTTTCACTTTCCCATATGAACATTTTATGTTGCAAACTCTTTTTAGGTGTTGTGGCTCTAAAGGAGTTTCTTTCTTTTCAAATTACATTGGTTTTTTTTTTTTCTCTTCATTCACGTGCTCTGTTTCTTCTATTGGGACAAGTTTGTTTTGTTTCATTTCTTTTTGTCATTTTCCTTCTCTTCTCCCAATTCATTACAACAAGCTGTTTTATTTTGCTTTTTTTCATTGATCCTTTACGTTGTTGCTTTGCTTTGTTTTGGATGCAATTAAACAAACGTCATATGGGATTGTATTTTTGCTCGCTACCTTTTTTTTTTTTTGTTCTTCCTCTTCTAATGTTTGACTATCTTGATTAGATCTGTACTTTTGGCTTTTTTGTTAGTTCATCTGCAATGCTTGTTGTATGAGGAAATAACTCGTACTTTGGTGTTGCAATTGATATGCCCTTCTCTGTGATAGGTTGTATATTTATGATTTAGCTAAAAAAAATTATTGGTTCATGTGATTTTGCATTAAACAAACTAAATGATCATCAATACATCCGTGTTTGTTTTGTAATGTCCGAATATGAAGCAAGAATATAGACAATCATTTCTTGGTTGCTTGCATTTTGTTATGCTTCTTTTATTGCTCACTACCCATTCTTTTGTTTTGCTATTTGATCTTCATCCTTGCTCACCCATCTCATCTCTTTGTTTTCGGTCTTCCATTATGTCCCTTTTAAAAATCATTTATGGAGTTAGTACCATTTTTTTTAGTACTTATCATTGTATTTTCCCCTCTAATCTAACCAACTATCGTTAGTATAGTTTGGTTTATTTTATTTCATTTACTTTCGTCAATTTGCCTTCTCTCTTCCCAATTCATTCTAGGTGTTTTTTGTTCTCTTTTTTTTTTAATGGCCTTTTGCATTGTTGTCTATGCTTGATTTTGGTGGGAAAAAAATAAAATATAGCTAAAAAAATTTTGATGTTGTAATTCATTTGACCTTCTCTGTGATAGTTTCCTTAATTATAATTTAGCTAAAAAAATTTTTGGCTCGTCTACTTTTACATTAAAAAACCTAAATGACCGTTAATGCTTCGTGTTTGTTGTGCGACTTTTGAATATAATGATGAGTTGGTTTTTTTTATTTTTTCTCCTTTTATCGACTTGGCTTCTCTCTTCCTGATTCATTCTAGCAATTGTTTTGTTATGTTTTTTTCTAATCTTTTGCATTGTCGTCTTTGATTTGTTTTTTATAGGAAAAAACAATATGTTACGTGGGACTATGTGTTTTAACCTACTATTTTTTACTTTTTCTGTTGGTCTTGCCTATTTTACTATTCGTTCATCTTGATTGGATCCATTTTTTGCTTCGTTTTCTTTTACATTCAATAAGCTCGGTGACTTTCAATGTATCTATATTTGTCATGTGAGGTCCGAATATAAAGAAAGATTATGGATTGTCCTTCCTTAACTCGTCTTATGAAAAGTTTTCAACATTTTTAAATTTCATTGCTATTTTTCTATTCACGTTTCATAGCTTCTCTTGCTTATGCCTTTAGATGATTAATTATTGCATAGGAAACCATGATTTTTTTACTAACTCATTAGAAAAACAGACTTTTCTGTTTTGCCTTATTTTTACTATGGTTGTTTTTTTATGTTATGCTTGTGCATCTTTTATTGCTCATTATCCATTCTTTTTTTTTTTCCATTTGAAAACAACCTTACTCGGCCTTGTCATCCCTTTCTTTCCAATCTTGCATTTTGTTCCTTTTTTGAGAACCATTTATAGAGTTGGTTTTCGTCTATTTTTATGGCTTATCATTGATTTTTTCCCTTTAATCTAACCAACTCTTTTTAATTTTTAATTATGCACGTTTAGCCATCTCTAGGTCTGCCACCTTTATTGCTTTATTAAAGTTAATAGGTTAGGTTTGTTCATTGCCTTCTTTATTTTTTCCATTTCTATCGTTGCTTGTTGCCTTGAGATAATGGCCTCTTATAGATGAATTTTTCCCTTTTACTTGTTTTTTTAAGGGTTTTCCTTATGTTTTATTATGCTTCATTTCTTTCCCATTGCCCATCACTTTCTTTGAATGTTTGATCTTCATCCTTGCCCATTATTCTCATCTTTGGTATTCGGTCTTGTCTTGTGTCAATCTTGTCTTGAGTCGTTTTAAAAAGATCATTGATGGAATTAGTTTTCTTTTTCTTAATTACTTATTGCAACTTTTATCCCCCTTTTATCGAATTGGCTCCCTTTGATTTTTAATTATGCAATCATGACCGACACCAGTTCAACCGTTGTATTGCTTCGCCAAAATTAATATGTTTGATTTATTGGTTGCCTTTCTTATTGTTTTTTTAAGTTATAGGTTGGTTTGTTTTATTTTATTTCCCTTCATTAGTTTCCCTTCTCTCTTCCTAGTTTATTGTAGCTTTTTTTTTTAAAGCCTTTTCCATTGTTACTCTGTTTTTTTTTTTTTTGGGTGAAAAAAATTTGTGTGGGACTATATGTGTTTACCTATTGTTTTCTTTTTTTATTTCTCTCTACTTTTTTTATTGTTCATTCATTTTTATTGGATCTGGTTTTTTTTGCTCCTTTCATTGGTTGGTTTGCAACATCTTTTATTTAATGAAATAAACTAATCGTTCAATTTTGTAATTCATCTTACCTTCTTCGTGATAGTTTCTATATTTATAATTTACGTAAAAAAAATATTGGTTTGTCTGCTTTTACATTAAACAAACTAAATGACTATCAATGCATTTGGATTGTTATGCGATTTTTGAATATAAGTTTTATTTCATCTTGTTTTATTGGTTTGCCTTCTCTTCCCAAATCATTCTAGGAGCTATTTTGTTCTTTTTTTTCTAGCCCTTTGCATTGTTGTTTCGATTTGCTTTTGGTGGAAAAAAACATTATGTTATTTAGGACTATGTGTTTTAACCTATTGCTTTTTTCATTTTTGGTTCTTTCGCATCTTCTATTATTCATTTGTCTTAATTGGATCTATTTTTTTGCTTCATTTTCTTTTACATTCGGTAAGCTCATCGAGCGTCAATGCATATGTGTTTGTTGTGAGGTCCGAATGTAAAGCAATGTCTTATGAAAATTTTTGATCATTTTTTAATGTCATTTTTATTTTCCCATTTACGTTTCATAGCAACATGCTTCTCTTGCTTATGCCTTTAGATAATCAATTATTGCACGGCAAAACAGATTGCCTTTTTGCGAGGCATCGGAAAAACATTTTCTTTTTGCTCTATCTTATTGTTTTATGGTTGTTTGCTTGCGTTATGCTATTTAATGCTCATTTTCCATTCTTCTGTTTGGCCATTTGATCTTCATCCTTCCTCGACCTTTTCGACTCTTTATTTCCAATCTTGCATTTTGTGCCTTTCTTGATAATAATTTATGGAGTTAGTTTCCTTTTGCTTTTATTGTTTATCATTGCTTTTCCCCCTCTAATATAACCAAATCTTTTTTAATTTTTAATTATGCGAGTCCGAGTCATCTCCAGTGTCTGCCACCTTTATTGCTTCATTAAACTTAATAGGTTAGGTTTATTCATTGCCTTCTTTTTTTTTTTTTTTCGTTCCTACTGTTGCTTACTACCTTAAGATAAAAGCCTCTTACAAATGGATTTTTCCCCTTAGAATGGTTTTTTTATGGGTTTTACTTGCATTTTGTTATATTCCTTGTCTTTCTCATTTCCCATTACTTTCTTTTAATATTTGATCTTCATCCTTGCTCGTTGCTC